AATATATTTTATAAAAATAGAGCAAGAAAAAAATCACATAATTTTCTCTTACACAGCCAACAAATTAACAAAATTAATTTAATTAAAAAGGAAAGAGGAGGACACAATATGTGACTTATGTATGAAACTGACATTAACATAAGTTGAACATTTCAGGAAATAGAAGTTCTTACACGTTGATTATGCTAGTTCCATTTAGGAAAATAGTTACCATGGAAATAGTAAGCGTATATGGTATTTCACTTTCACATTAAAACAGCTTTTGAAAAGAACACATTTAGTGAACACTTGTTCTTGAAGGGGAAGTGGCTCATAAAGACTGTCATTTTGGTTTAGATTCATTTTATTACAATGGCTCTATAGGATTTTCTCATTTCATGATAAAATAATTTGAATAAAGCCAACTTGTTTTAGGGATTTTTTTAAAAAAACAACCTATATACATTATGTGGTTTTATGCCTAAACTAAGGCCATATTACATGAGCAGTCTCACTTAAAAAAAATATATATATATGGTTATTATTTTTTTTTCATTTTAGATTGTTGGAGTCTTGAGGGATTTTTTATCCTAAACTTAGGGCATTCACATACAGTTGGTCAATTAAAAATTGTGTGATGAAGATGTTGATCCCAAGTAAGAGAGCATCTAGAATGTGGGGGCCCAGCTTCAGAAATTAGATTTCCTAAAACTTTCCAAATTCAGGGTTCTTAGTCTCAAGCGTTCAGCACTAATTTCATGTCTATTCTTCTTGGAGCACACTATGACACAGGTTGTATGGACTGGCCTGGCCACAGCTGGCCTCTGCTCCTCTGTAGTCCATTGTAGGCTCCCCATCCTCCCCAGCTTTGCTTTTCTGTCTGTCAGCAATACCTACTTGCATTTACCCCTCCAGATCTTTTTTTATGTATGTCCAAAAGCAATCAGTCATCTCAGCCAGGGAATGTATTGATCCTGGGTAAGTAAATAACTATTAATTTCATGACTTTGGCTCTAATGCACCATTGGGGATAAGAATAGATTGTTTGAAGCATAGTTTCTCTAATATTCTGCAGATCTTCAAAGAGGACTGTTTAAATATTTACAGGTAAATGAAAAGTTGAGAGATCAGTAGCAGCAAAGTTTGGTGGTAAGAGTATAACATTAGAAAGCAGAAGAGATTCTAGTTCTAGTTCTGCCACCAACTAGTTATGCAACTTAGGTCATGTCAAAGAGAAACCAGAGTTTAAGAATAGTTAAAATGACAAGAACAGATTTTATTCAAGACTGTGGAAAGCAGGGAAATTGAACTCGACTTAATTTCAAATGCACCATGGGCAAGTGGGAATTTATAGTTAAGGAGCAGGGTGAGGGTCAGTGAATTGACAATTACTAAGAGGAAATAACGTAGGAAGGAATTCTGGATAAATAGACCTAACAAAATTCTTGCTGAAGGCAGACCAGGGTGATCAGACAGCACTTGTGGCATGGTGTGGGATGAAGAATTCTATCATATATCAGAGGTGATCAGTTATAGAGGATGAACGTTGCATTCCTGTTAAACTGACTTAACAAGGTTCTTTGCTGAAAGTGGACTTTCTAAGGAAATGCTCCGGTGGGCCTAGGAGAAGGTTCAGGAACCTGGCTAAAATTTGGTCAAGTAAATAATCTTTGTCAATGAATCACCTCATTACTCCTACAAAATAATATGAGGAGATAACTGCCATTTTGACACATTTCTTGAATGACCTTTGAGATGGCTCTAGATATCAGAATGGAAAAACACATTAACACAAACCAAAGTCTTCAGAATCAAAAGTTTTCTAGTTTGTGTTATTCATTCTAAGATTAGAGTTAACATAGTCTTGTACTTATGAATAATATTTGAATAATAGAGAAATAAAGAGGAAAGAAATAACTTATCTCCTTCTTGAATTTGTCACTGAAAACCTTTTTTTAAAAAATGTATACCTATTTCTTTCATGAGAGTGAGAGACACAGAGAAAGATAAGCACCTTTAACAAAGTCTCACACTGGATTCCCTTCCCCTCTTGCCTTCCCAATCACCCAGGATCATGGGCATGTGACTATTGTATATAGGTCAACTGGGGAACTGAACTTGTGATCTTCCATATGGATCCAGCATTGCTTGAGCAGCACATTGCTACTGCACTACCTACCAGGCCCAAATCAGTCATTTATAAATCCCTGCTATCACTGCCCAACTTCAGTCATCATTGTCTTTTTTCCTGCACTGGGAATTACCTTCGTTTGTTGTCGTTTTTAAAAGAATATTTGCATCAGAGTATGTCCCCTCGCTGAAGAGATAGAGACAGAGACAGTGAGAGGGAAAGTGAGACATTTCCCTTCAGAGGTAATGGCCACGCCACAATCTCTTCTCCTCCTGGGATCTTGGGCATGTACATACATGCACCCATAATAAATTTCAAGTGACCTGGTCCAGAATTCAAACTGTAGTTGACCATGTGGTAATCCAGCGATGTAAACCCTATGCCATCTGCTGGTCCCAGGAGCTACCAGGACTTGAACCATAGTCAGCCATGTGGGTGTCCAGCACTCTAACCACTGGGTTACCTGCCAGCCTGGAACTACCTCCTTAAGTGCTCTTTTCCTTTTGATACATTGTCCCTTTAAATTCATACTCCCTGTTTCCGCTTAAGTCCCAGATCTACTGGAAATCAGGTCCTTAATTCTCAGCATATTCAATATAGACATTGCCCCATAAAATTCTGCTTCTGAGCTTATATCTCCTGCAGAAAGCCAGTCTGTATAGAGTCGTCCAACTAAAACTGGGAGTGGACCTTGATTCCTTTTTTTCTCATCCCAGCATTTTCTGTATTCTAATTAACTATCGGTTTAGTCTCCTTAATATCTTCATGTGCCCCTTTTTCTTTTCTCTTTTCAATACCAGAGGGCCCAGGCACTCACTTGCCAGAGAGAGACAGAGAGGAAGAAAGCAGCCTTCAATGCAGTGTGGTCATGGCACAACTGCTTCTCCTCCATTCTGTTGGGATTTGGGGTGGGCACACACGCTTTGTGTATTTTTCAAGCCACTGGAGCTGGAATTTGAACTATAGTCAGCCATGTGGGATCAGGTTCTGTTCATCACTAGGCTCCAGGGCCCGCCCTACATCCTTTTCTTGTTTGCTGCCACTGCCTTACAGCCACTATAGTCTGTCTCAAGTGTCTGTGTAACAGTCTCTGATCTGGAGGTCTCTCTCTTCAGTATTTGCCTTCTTTTCTCCTTCTGTGAAGATGCAGACTTTAGATAAAAAGTGTATCCCATTACTTATCTACCAAAAGCTCTTTAAAGACCCCTTCTTGGGGGCTAACAGTAGTGTGGTGGTTAAGGTGCTGGACTCCCATATGGCCTATTGTGGTTTGAGTTCCAGACCTGACAGCTTGCTTTCTCTCTTTCTCTCTGGTCATATTGATTAGTAATAATAAAAATTAATTAATTTAATTTAGTTAATTTTTTAAAAGGTAGTTCTCTCTGGTGAAGTTTGAAAATAAAAATAAATAATTCTTAAAAAAAAAAAAAAAAAAAGAGGCTTTCTCCAATGGATAAAGTGAAAACTCCTTAGCATTGCAAACCCAGATTCCTGGGCTCTGGATGCTGCCTCTCCAGCCTAATTCCTTGTTCTTTCTGGCCTCTCATTTTGTTTCACACCCATAACTTCTTAGTAGTTCTCCCAAATACAACACTTGGAATGATATAGTACGTCTTTGCTTTACCAAGACTTGCCTCCTATACTTATTTTAGTCCTTGGCTCAAGTGTAACATCTTTCAGGCCCTTCTCTGACCGCGACACTGCAGCCATAGGCATACCTCTTCATGCCTGACTGCTCTACTCATATTTCCAGCATTAGCGTGTCCCTAGATTATATAGTCATTGTGTATTACTCTCTTTCTCTGACTGGGTCGTGTGCCCCTGAAAGTGAAATAGTGTTTGCCCTCTGGCAGAGGAAACATCACTTGTAATTCCTCAAAGGAGACTGGGAGCTGGTAGGATTGTGGGACTTTAAGAAATTCAGCATAAAAGTTGCTGTGAGTAGTGGGAAGGGCTTGGGGGAAGAGATGAGGCTGCAGTGGAAAACAGCAGTCAGAATGAAAAGGTTTACAAGTTGTGGCTCCATTTTTGGGTCAGTTTTTCTCTTGTTACTAGAAGTTGTTTGACTGTGTTGTTACAGACAATAGAGAGGCAGATAATAAATGCTTTTTTTTGTTAGCGAGGCTAAGAAAATGCTTTGCCTCTTCATTTGGGAAAAGAATCAGTTAACAAAGGGAGTGGTTGTAAACAATAGAATTAATTGCCTCTCTTAGGACTATTATTTGGTGTCTATTTAAGGCTACTAGATTTTATTTTAATTACTCCAGGGTGTGCCTTATTTGCATACATTTGCATAGTTATGTGAAGTCTCTGAAGGATCTAAGAAGACTTTAGCTGACTGCAAATCTTGCCCTCAGAGCCTAACATTGAAATAGGAGGTAGGGGGACCAGCAGGGGGTGTGGTGTTCAAGATGCTGGACACTCCCACATGGTAAACCATGGTTCAAATCCCAGAATTGATGGCTTGCTTTCTCGCTTTCCCTCTCTCTGTCTCTAGTCAAATTAAAATAAATGGATGAATAAATAAAATTAAATAATTCTTTTTTTTAAAAAAAGAAGAAATAGGAGGTAGGTACTTTCTTTTTTCTTTCTTTTTTTTAGGTTTTTGCCATAGGGCATGTGGGTTTGCCAGAGAGAAAACCAAGGAGTAGGAGACAGTTTTTAAAATGACTCACGGAGAACAAAAGGAAGTGCCTTAGGACTGAGATGTGGCACAAGGTTAAAGGCCTTCCTAAGAAAAGAACAGGTTCTTGGATGCCAAGGACTTCCTCAGTCCCCTTCTCACAAACTAGGCACCTTTGAGTGGTCAGCCTTCTGGGTGCTTGCCTAATTGGACAGTCCTTTGGATGGGGCTAAATTATTTCAATAACACTGTTTTGTTTTTTCTAGCATGGGAAACATAAGCTGCCTTTCAGACCTGATTAAGAAGCATTTTACTTTATGGCTGTACACATATTTTCTGAGATGCGAGGCCTCAAAATTAGCTCCTCAGAAAACTGGAGTTTCAGAGGAAGGGTATGTGAGGTTGGAAAAGCAGTCCTTGGGGGAAACCATACTCAACTGTGAAGAAGTTAACAGGAAAGAACTCCTACTGGGATTTCTTAGTACTAATGTGGTTCAAGTGTTCTTTTTAGAGGTAAGGGACAAGAAATCTAAACTTCATGAGATAGGTTTAGAAATCCTCTATAGAAGAAGATTTGAGAGGTAAAGAAGTTGGGTTTCATAGGTGTTAGGAAACATTGTGAAAAACTTAGAAAGGGCTAAGTAAATAAAGAAATGGCAATCAAATATTTCATCTAGTGCACTCTTCCGGAATATCTCTACCTTTCATTGACGTTAGGCTATTTATAGTCTGCTGGTTGTAAATTACGAGCACCACAAATAACTCTTATTCATAAACATGCAAATAAGTTCTGTTTAGGGAGAAACAATTGATTTTTCCCTCCTTTCTTCTAAAAAAAGCCTATTTTTATCTATTTGGTAACTCAACTTCAACTTCCATCTTGCCTACACATTTGTTGGTCTTCAAATTTTTTTTTGATATTATTGGAATATGTTGGTGGTTCACTCATTAATTAATGCTTTAAATAAAATCTTTTATTTGTGTTCATTTCATACTTGTATGAGTCATGATTTTACCTTAAAAACAACAATAACAACAACAAATTGTCTTTTAACAAAGGGCAGGGAAGATTTCAATAAATCATCTCTAAGACTTATCTATTTATTTGTTCTGGCATATTGGTGTAAACATGAGAGAGAAAGAAAGAGACAGGGAAAGAAAGAGAGAAAGAGAAAGGTAGAGAGAGAAATATATAGAGAGAGGAGGCACTCTCTATGGGGCCTGGTCATGCTTCAAACCTTTTTCTTCTAATTCTCCATCCCATCAAGATTCTGGGCATGTGCACATGTCTAGTATATTTTTAAACAATGTGGACTGGAACTCAAAACTTGGTCAACTATATGGAACCCAACTTCCTTTGTGAAGCACCTCGCTGCTATACTACATACAGGACCAGCCTTAAGAATTATTTTGACCACATAAAAGAGAGGCTGGTCATTTTGTGATTGGCCTTATTAGTTCATATAGGTACAGTAAACATATGAGCCTCTTGACTGTAGTTTGCAAGTCTAGACTTATATGGTATTCAACAATTATAAACCCAGAATACTAACTATAAGTTTCATAAAGAATCTCAAGTGATATTTTAAAGATTCTCTGTTGTTCAAAAGATAAAATGAAAAGTCATATTGGTTCTTGTATTCTGACACTAGAAAAGCAACTGAAAGTGATTGTCTCCATAGTTTTTACTCACAATACGTATAAAGTTGGGTTCTTTTCTCCCTGAAGTCTATTGACCTTAAGTGTAGGAACCTGAACAGAGCAGGTATCAGATCATTTCCAAGGAAGGATCGATGTTCTATGCATATTATACATAGGAAGTACAACTCCTTTTCTTTAATGGTGAATTTAGATCATCATTATAGCATAAAGTACCAAAAGAACACACACACACACACAAAATTCCAAGGATTTTCCAAACAAATGCCACATGAAATTTCCCTCTTTAGTTCAGCACATGTTGCTTTCACTTAAGTCTTATTCTGCTGGCTCATGGATAAATAGGACAGTTTTCCTGAGAGTAATCTTCTGGACTAAAAAGTGCACTTGAGGGACCAGCAGTTAGCGCAAAATGGCTATGTTGCTGAACTCCCATGTAGTCGACCGCGGTTCAAGTCCTGGACCCAGTGGCTCAAACTCATGCCAGGTATGTGTGTGTGTGTGCCCAAGATCCCGAGAGGAGAATGGAGTAGAAGGGATTGTGGCATGGCCATCCCCCCTGGGTGGGGGGTGATTTCTTGCTTTCTAACTCTCGGTCTCTCTGTCTAACTTTCTGGCGAGCGCACATGCCCTATAGCAAAACTGCTCTTAAAAAAAAAAAAAAAGAAAGAGTGCACTTGATAGCCTTCCTCCCTTCTCCAGTTCAGTTTCATGGTTGTCTACGTAATGTTGAGTTAAGCTCCAAAGCCTGTACTCATGTCTATTCTGGAAATATCAATAGTTAGGGATACCTGGTTTAATTCTTTCCCCAAGGTTCTGAGACAGTTCTTGCCAAAGAATTAATTTCTGCCTTGAGATTTATAATAAAACTTCAAGCAAAATAAATAAATAAATAAATAAATAAATAGAGGAAAAGACAGAAACCACCTGATGATGGTAGGATCTAAAGAATGTGGCTAAATTATTTAAAAAATCAGTAACAGAATAATAGAAGCAATAACTAGAAAAAAGGAGAATAAAATTCCCTGTTATGGTATAATACATAATTCTCTAATAAGGATTTTAGAAATGTTTCTTCTTGGCATAAGAATATTATGAATATCAAGGGCACTGAAAAATCTATTTACAATAAACTGATTGATTCAGTAACTTGCTTTTTTTATAAGAGGTTTTTGCCATAGGGCATGTGTGCTTGCCAGAGAGAGAGACAGAGACAGAGACAGTGAGAGGGAAAATGAAAAATCACCCCTCAGGGGGGGATGGCCACACTGCAATTCCTTCTCCATTTTCCTCTTGTGATCTTGAGCATGCACACATATGTGCCTACATCTTGAAATTATTTTCCTCAATTTTAGAATCTGATCTATGTTTTTTCCTTTTCTTTTTTTTTTGGAGAGTTTTTTGCTATAGGGTGCATGTACTCGCCAGAAAGACAGAGAGAGACAGAGAGACAGAGAGACAGAAAGCGAGAAATCACCCTCCCAGGTAGGGGGGAGATGGCCATGCTGTAATTCCTTCTCCTCCATTCTCCTCTTGGGATCTTGATCATGCACGCACATGCGCCCAATGTGAGTTTGAGCCACCTGGTCAGGGACTCAAACTGCGGTCGACTACATGGGAGCCCAGCAACATAGCCGTTATGCCAACTGCTGGTCCCGAATCTGATCTTGAGAAGAGGAGAATTTGTTAATTTATTAAGAGAGAATCATAGATGCTGTAGTACATGCATACTTTTAGCTGGGCTACTTATTCAGCAAAGCGACAATGAAGTACATTAAAGTAAGTGCAGACGTTATCATGATTTTGACTCTTTCCTTATTCATGACAGTGCGTGCACTTGAGAGTGAGAGGGAGAGAAAGAAAGAGATGAGCATCTTTTGAAGGACCTGGTCCTGCCATGATTCCTTTTCCAGTCCTTCAGCCCATCAGATCCTGGTCACTCAGATACATGCCCAGTGTGTTTCATGCTGGCCAGGGCCAAGACTCAGACCATTTGCAATCGGGCTTCTCTTAAGAAGCATGTTACTTCTATGCCATGTATCCAGCCTGGATTGTTTTTATTCTTTAATATTAGGTCATTGGAAAAGTCGCGACATATTTTTCTATGCAAAATGTGTCATGACTTTTCCGACAACCCAATATTTAAGTATATTACTAAAGTTGCCATATAGAAAATTACTCTAGTGACATGTGAAATCTCTGATACATAGAAAATAACTAACAACCTTTCTTGCTCCTTATTAAGAGCAGGCTAAATACTCCAAGATCAATTTTAGTGAAAAGAAGATCAAATTCTTATTGTATATTAACACAATATTTGGCCACAAAGAATTTAGAAAATTCTTTCTTTGTTTACGCACATTATTGTTTTGTTGTTAACTTTGTTATTCGTTATAAACCAAGGCAACCAAATAATTTTTTGGCAATTGTTTTATATATTTATTCAAGTCATAGCCTTCATTAGTTTTGTTCACATTCTGAAACCAGGTACTTAATTTTAGGACAAAATTCTCTTTTAATTCATAAACACTTCATTACCTTTTACACATAGTCAAATTTCTTTGCCATTCTTATTTCCAGTGGTCTTAATCACCCCTATTAATTTTAACTTTTGTTTTAGAGAAGTTTTTTGCTATAGGGCATGTGAGTTTGCCAGAAAGACAGAGAGAGACAGAGATACAGAAAGCAAGGAATAACCCCCAAGGGGAGATGGTCATGACACAATCACTTCTCCTCCATTCTCCTCTTGGGATCCTGGGCACGCATGCACACGTGCCTTGTGTGAGTTTAAGCCACTGGATATGGGACTTGAACCGTGGTCGAGTTCATGGGAGTTCAGCGACATAGCCATTACGCCAGCTGCTGGCCCCTTAATTTTAACTTTTAATTGAAGTTACTAACTTCCACCTAAAAGAGAGAACAGTTAGGGGGGAAGTAATGATTAATTTGGGCATTTTAGAAAGTCAAGAAGGATACCCAGCATGACTCCCTATGGTCACATGCATCATTTCATCATACTCCTAAAATGGAAAAAACTAATGCCTTTTTTAACAGAGTACTTCTCAATTTTGTCTCTAGAGAATATTTTCAATGTTTGGAGACATTTTGAGCATCACAATTGGCAGGATAGGGGTGGCGCTAATGACATCTAGAGTACAGGCCACAGGGGGTACAATCATGCATAGCACAACCACCCATGACAGAGAGTTTACCTGGTCCAAAATGCCATTGACACCTCTGTTGAAAATCATGTTTAACATTTACCCCTAGGTAAAGCTACATTGAAACATATTATAAGAAGTAGAGATGCATAATATGTATATGTATATATATATGTGGGTATATATGTGTATATGTGTGTGTTTGTTTATACTGACCAATATTTCAGTATTCTTTTGCTATATAAATTATCCAGATATCAAAGATTATTCATTAATGAATTGAATTTACTAATTAAATACGTTGTTACTGTTAACTAAGGATCTTGAAAATTATGTGTTAAACTGATACAACTATAGGCCACAGTCATTGTTGATATAAAAATGATCAGTTATAACTGTTTACTAACATATAATTATTTTTCATAATTACTTCCTGTTGAAATATGAAGGGACTTTGAAAATTTTGTGAAGAAATGGAACTAATACCAGAATTCATTTTGGTGCAAAACATTTTTAAACTCACTCATAGTTTTTTTCATAATGTACATTTTCCATGAACTTTTTGATGACTCTCCTCCCCCACACCCCCATATGATGGCTTGTGTGGTCTGTAAAACAGTATAAGAGTTTTGGAGAATTCTATTCATGAGAAAATAATTAGATATCTATTGTGACATGTTTTCTTGTATTATATTTAATGTAAGGGAAAAGACAAATAGCTGTTTTTAAACCAAAGTAATCAAAAAGTCCAAAGATTTAGT